CTATTATTAATGCTGATTGATGAGGCCGGACGCGCCGCTTTGTGAAAGTTTGCGGCCGGCCGGTGAGGAGGCGGTGACAGCTGCCGGCCGGTCCCCTCCCGCGCCCAGCCCGCCCCCAGCTCGGCCCACCCGGTCCCGCTCGCTCGTAGAGCCCGCACCCCGCGGCTCAGCGGGGACCCCGTGTCCCGGCCCCGCCCCGCCCTCCGCGGGACCGCGCCGCCCCGCCCCCTCCGCACGCAGCCCTGGCGGGAAAGATCGCGGGCGCGGGGTCGGGGGCGGACAGGCTGGGGCCTCTTCCTCCGCCGGGGCCGCTTCGCTCAGTCTCCAGCTCTGGCCTCATGGGTGGTTTCCTCGAGTGCCGCCCTACAAGTACTTACCGCGCCTCCACCTCCGCCTCCCATCCCTTACCTTCCTCCCATCCTTTACCTTCGTTTCTTCCCCTCACGCTTCTCCCCTCCAGGCCCGTTTTTATTCCTATTCCTCTCATTTCGTTAGCTTTTTCCGTCTCTCATCCCCTATCCCAGTCCGTCTTACTGTTTTCTTGTTTTTTCCTCATTCCTTGTCTTTATCTCCTGTCTGTCTGTCTGTCTGATCCCCCTCACGCGCGCTCTCCCTCTCTCCTGCTATTAATTTCCCTGATTGGCTCGGGCTACGGCGCCGCTGATGAGCCCTATTCATTCCCGGGCCTGACACTCTCGACCTGCCCTGGCTGATTGCTGGGGGCTGGCCCCAGAGCGCTGATGAGCCCCAAGGGTCAGCGGCGCTAATTATCCACTAATTGCAGATGACTCTGCTCACCTCCCCCATCCCCAGGCAGAGAAATGGTGGCGCCTTTTATGGTCCCCCCACCTCATGCCCAGCAGTGGAGTTGTCACTCCTGAAGCAAAAGTCACAGGCTCTTTGGCTTCACGGGCTGCTCAGGTCAGTGGGTAATAAAGGGGCTAGAGATGGGCAAGATGATAGCAGGGGACCTGGGACGTCAGCACCCAGAGCCAGCCTGGCGGCCAGCCAACATGAGCATGGCTGGGTCACCTGAAAACTAATTTCAGGTGGGGCTGGGGAGAGCCCAGCCGGCTGAAACAGAAGAGCAAAGCCAGGCGAGTTTACGGAGAGCACATTATGTAGGGTGAGCATCTTGGCCCAGGTGGGGGAGAGTGCTCATGCCCCAGAGCCCCAGAGCCACCCTTGCAGGGCAGATCAGGGCAGGAGGACGCTGTGTCTCCATGGCATTTGTTCTAAGCAGGAGAGTCACCTGCAAGTTGGTCTTGTGAGCACAGTCCTCAGACCGATGGATTTAAAATCAGCACTCTGGAGGACAGGCCCGACAGGATGGCATTGAGCAGGAGGATGGGGCTCAAGAAGGGACCTTTCTTGGGATAGTCCTCGACTCATCCAAAAGGTGAAGCGGAAAGCGTCGCTTTCCAGCAGTTCTCATTCACCTTGGGGTGTCCATTAAACTCAGAGAAACTTCTAAGGGATGAGTCTGGGGGAAGATTCACCGCGGAGAGAGAATGTGCCCCTTAGCTTAGCGCTGGGAACCCCTTAGCTTAGTTCTGGGAAACCCTAACTCTCTGTTAAAGTGGCAGGATGAAGTCTGTCTAAAAATAGCCTTCAGAACAACTCTGTGAAATTAACCAAGTGCTTCGCCCTACTGAGATGAAGGGCCAGACCTCAGAAGTGTGTTGTACTTAGAAAGTGCGAGGTTGAGTATTTGGTGTGACGGCTGTACAGGGCTGGCTACATAACAGTGGCTTATTGACTTGATAAATCATGGAGGGAAGTTCGGGCTACAATTACTGCAATTAAATCTGGATGAGCAGTTTCTGAACCAATCAAATAACGCATGAAGAAGAACCATTTTTAAAAGTAATTACATTCATTTTTTTGCATAGGTAATAAAACACATAGTACAGAATTCCAAAAGCTCAAAAAGATATATACTGAAATCACCCTTCCACCAGTCTCACCAGTAAAAGGTTACTTAAGGAAGCCTGTCTGTCACTCTTTGGCAGTAGAGAATGGATCCTGCGTCGTCAAGGGTAAAAAGGCTCCCATCTAGAAGATGTCACGTAACTCATGATGAGCTATTGCTCATAACTAAGAGGGAAAAATGGACTCTTCACTTAAGCAGGCAGAGAGAACACAAGTTTATACCTTGGTACCAACACAACCCAGTAGGCCACCAACTCTGAGCTGAGACGAGTGACACTTTGGGGACTTTGGTATTGATCTGGTGTGGCTCAGGCTTGGAGACATTGTATCCTATACCATGCGTTCTAACGCTTTTGTATCTTCAATCTGTGCTCTTGCCATGCTAGGGTCATGAAGGGTGGCTTTTTGGGGTCCTTGACAAGCAGTAGCCAGTGTCACATGCTCAGGGGTGACACTTGCAGCCCCTTCCTTCCCTGCCCATTCATCTAGTGTGGAGAGGAGGCCACACGGCAAAAGCAAAAGCCACTTCTGGGAGTAAAAAGACCCGCCCCCTCACTGGGCCAGCGGACCTTGGGCCTTCTTCAACATCTCCTTGGGCCAGAGAGATAAGATAGTTCACTGGCATAAGTGCCCTCCTGGCAAGTACAAGGTCCCGAGTTCAATCCCCGGTACTGAAAAACAAAAACAAAATTCCCTGTGTGCAAGAGAGGATTACTTTGTGCTCCACGTAGCCCAAAGCCGAGGATCACGTGAATGAGGAACTACCGTCCAGAACGAGCTCTTCCAGCAGGTGAGCAGGCGAAGGGCAGAGTGGCCCGGAACAGGACTCAGCTTCCCGAAGATCAGTGGCTCCCCCAGCACCGCTGCTGGCTCTGCCATCAGTACCAAGGACAGATGCTGTGGCTTGCAAATTTCTCACCATCAGGAAATTCCTGTTCTCCTACTGGATCCCTGACCAGAACTCGTCTAGCTGTGTCGGACCTGATCGTTGGCTCTCTCTAGGCACTGGGATCCCCGCTTGGGATGCTAACCAGGAGCAAAGTGTTCTGAAGTCAAAGCCAACAGGTCCACACCGCGGGCTCACTCATTGGCGGGAGAGAGACCCCGTGCGGTGGGCAGCACCGAGCTCTGTGCGCGGGTCCCCTCTGGTGGCAGCAGCGCGCGACTGCAGTCACCGCGGAGGCGCGGGCTGATGCAGCGACCCCTGGCGTTAGGTAGAGGAACGCACGCAGGGCAGAGGAAGGCGCGAGGAGAACCCGCTAAACCCTGGGGGTGAGTAGGGCGGGGCGGGGCCTGGACACCAGCGTCTTAAACTCTAGCGTGCGTACGTGTAGCCGCCTGCATGTTTCCTGTGCCAGTGCATCTGCCGCCCTGCATGTGTGCTGCGTGTGTGAGCCCACGCGTGCACACGCGGGCAGGCTGGTGGTGAGGAGGTCCGCGCCTCCAGTGCAGGGCGGAGTCCTCACGGAGGCGTGAAATTGGTTTGGAGCAAACACATTATGGAAAGCAATTACCGGGGAGAGGCTCTGGGCCCGCGGGACCGACAGCCGGGAGGCTGGGGAGGAGGCTCCCTGCCTGGCCGGGTGTCTGGTGTCTGACCCCAGAGGGAACCTCCTGGCATCCCCTTGCGAGGGACAATGGTAGGCACGGCCTCCACGAGGTGACCACCGCACGTCGCCTTGTGGCCCTCCCCTCAGCCCCTCAGCACCCTCCGCGCAGGGCGCGCCCCTCCCCTCGCATCCCTTGAGCCAGGCATGGCGCCCGTAACACCTCCCCACCCCTACCCCACTCCTTGCTTTCCTCTTCGCCCTCAGCCCCGCTCCCACTGTCGTTCTGCCTTCAGTTCACCGCTCCTATGTTGTGATTAATTCCCACACTGCTTTTGGGATCGATCGAGAATTCACTGAGGGCAGGAATGTGTCTCGCGCACAGCCCTATGCCTAGTCCCTAACACCTGGGGCCCAGGAAGCACAGAAAGAGGACGAAGAGTGGCTGGCCCAGCAGAGAATACCTGTCATCCTAACACTCAGCTGGCTGAGATTGAAAGATTACAAGTTCGAGGCCAGCCTGGGCTACACTGTGAGTCCAAGGCCAGCCTAGACTGCATAGTGAGGCCCTGTCAAGAAAACAAACAAAAAGAAGAGAAGACTAAAATAGAATTTCAAACAAAATTCAGAAGTGGGACCCTCAGGAAAGGTGCTCTCTGAGAGTCAGGACTTCTTGAACATCTGTCAAAGCCGGTGAATCCCACTTATTCCACAGACCGCCCTCCCCTCTGCACCCTGGATTCAGAGGGCCACGCGGGCAGCTCCGGCTGAGCAGAGCCAGTGCAGCCCTTTCCATTTTCCTGGTCCCGCCTCTCCATGGAGAACAAGCACCATCCCTCGTCCAGCTGTTCAAGCCCAAAAGACAGGGAGGGGTCCAGCCCCACATCTGCTCCACCCAACGTTCCCAAAAGGGATGGGGTGTTCCTTGTCCAGTCGGCAGGTGGTCCTAGAGCATGGGCACCCCCTTTCTCAGCGGTCCCTTCCAGTCCTGGGGTGGCAGGGATGCAAGTGCCACCAGCTTTGTGTCCTCCCCTCCTGTCCAGGGATGGGGAGAGGTCATCTCTCCCTGTCTGAGCTAAGGGCCTCTTGGAAAACACCTCCACCTTTAGCTCCTGCACTCCCACAGTTGTCCTGTCAGTTCCCCAAAGGACCCCAAATCTTGCCTACTACGTACTACCCCATTTCTGGCTGGAATGCTGCAGTCACTCCCAGCTCTCCCTGATTCTCTATGACCTCCTCTATCCCAAGCCACTCAGACAACATCCAAAGTGTTTTCCTTTTTTTTTTTTTTTTTTTGGTGATTCCACGGATTAAACCTGAGGCCTTTGCTTTTTTTCTGGGAATTGAACTCAGCGCCTTGTTTGCAAGGCAGGCATCGTGCCACTGAAACTACATCCCTCACCCTTGAGACAGGGTTGGTCTTGCTAAATTGCTCAGGTAGACTTCAATGGTGGTCCTCCTGCTTCAGCTGCTGAGATGCTCAGATCACAGATAGGTGCCACTATGACCAACTCAAAGTGATTTTCTAGGACCTCTTGTCAAAGGTCACCTCCTTAATGAGTGTGTTTCCCTGTCACCATTTAAAATAGTTCCCAGGCCCTGTCACATCGCCCTCTCCCTCGGCTTCTCCCACAAGATACCTGCTCCTGTCTGCTTGGCAGAGAGCGAGACCGGGGATCCCAGGTACCCCATGCCTGTGAGGCCTGGAACTCAGGTGTGCATGGAGTAAATCGGCACCAGGACCTCACCCACCGTGGGGATAGGCGAGATCTCACAAGTGACCGAGCCGTCCCTGACAGAGAAGAGCACCCACAGCCAGGCCCCAGCAGAGGCCCTAGAAACCCCCTCCCAGACCCAGCCATCCTCCCCCGTGAGAACTGTTCATGGGGAGGACCAGCCCCACTTCTTCATCTCGGGATGGTTCCAGAGCCAGCACCTGAAGCGCAGGCAGGCTTTAGTCTAGGCAGCTCACTTCTGCTCTGGTTGTCTACACTGTCCCAGATTTGGAACTCAGATCTTTGGAACCCGTCTCTCACCCAGACCACCAGACCAGGCCCCTGCCACAATTCCCCCCCTCTCCCTGCACTTGGAGGGAAAAATTTCATTCCAGTACATGCACATTCCAGAGCCTGGGAACTGTGCAACGACCCTCGACGTCACAGGTCACAGTGCACTTGATTGGCTGCTCTGTGGTTCCTGGACAGCTCCCCCTCCCTCCTTTACCATCAGGTCTCCTCGGCACCAGCTACTTTTCAGGCCTTTGCCAATACAGTTTACTTGGTGGCTATCTCAGGAGGCAAGAGGTGCATGACAGGTTGGGCTGGGCCTCCACAGCTGGTGGCTGGCAAAGGGAGAAGGTAGGGGACCTGGCACACGGGTGGATGTGGGGACCTGGCAAGTGCCCATCCCGACCCCCCCTGCCAGGGAGCCAGCCAGAGCGAGGCTTGCTGGAGAAAGAACCAAACAGCCTGGAGATTTTAATGTGCACACAAGGTTTGCACAGCCTAGGGGGGGCTCCTGAGCAGCCCCAAGATGTCACTAGTTCTGTCTTCATCAGATGTCACCTGGCCACTGTGGTGTGTCCACTTCCCTCTGGTGGGGATCAGAGCACCCCCACAGAGAGGGACCTGCTGCCAGTGGGGCCGCCTGCTTTGGGCTGGGCTGCCTGCATCAGGGCCCTGCCGCGGGGCACATCTGGAACGAGAGGCCTAGCTTCTAAGCACCCGCTGGTGCCCGAGCAGCTGCTTCCTCTCAGGGCCCACCCCTAGCCCTCCGTTGCCTCCTGCCCACCCCCAGAGTCCAGCACCCTCACCTAGTATAGCACATCCTCGAACTCGAGCTGCAGGTAGCGGAGCAGGCGAGGTGGCAGGGGCAGGCCGGGCAGGGCCAGAGGCAGGCAGCCGGCCAGGTGTGTGCGTAGCGCACAGCGGCTCAGGTGCTGCAGGGATCGTGGCTGCCTCACCAGGGAGAAGAGCGAGGAGTAGAAGTGCCGGTGCTTCTGCGGACAGAGGGAGGGCTCAGCCAGGGCAGGTGCCAGTGTGGCCTGGGGCATCTCCAGGGACCTCTTAGAACACACTCTGACATCTCCCAGGTCATTTCTATGGGGGACCAACAAGGCTGCCCTTTTAGGCGGTGGGAGCCTCGTGTGCTGGGCTGGGGTCTGACCTGCAGCGTTTCAGGAGGTATCAGGCCCACTGCCTCCTCCGGAAGCCTCACGACACTGTAGGTGTTCATCAGGACCTCGATGATCCTCGGGGACGAGTGCCAGCGCTCCAGCACCTGGAGGAGGCAGGGAGGCGTCAGCCTGGCTGCTGTGGCCCACACAGGGTGGCGGGGAGGGGGGAGAGAGCAGCGGTTGTGGGGGGAGACTTTGTTCCAACCAAAAGATCAATGTGAGTCCTAAGCCTGGTGCTCAGGAAGGTGACCTCATGTGGAAGTGGGGTCCTTGCAGATGGAAGGGACTCAAAGTGAGGTCCCTGAGGCCTAACCTGTCCATGGGAAACACAGGTGCGGACACCACACAGAGAGGGCCATGTGACAACAGAGGCAGGCAGTAGAGTGACACCTGGGACAGTGGGCAACCATGAGGAGCTGGAAAGAGACGGGACAGCATGTCAGAGTCCCCAGAGGGGACCCACCCTGTTGACACCCCCCCATTTTTCTAAGGCATCAGTTTATGGGACTTAGTGGTAGCAGCTTCAGGAAACGGGCACAACACTAGCACTTGTTTTGCTTCCTTGCTGGGGGTGCTGGGATGAACTCCACCCCAGCCCGCAGCCGCCGCATTTGCTGCGCAGGGCCTATGCCGATGCTCTCTGTAGCACTCTGTGCGTCTGAACTCTTGGCCTCCAAGCCTACTCAGTGTGGACTTTATTGTCTAAAATTGACAGATGAGAGCAACTGAGGCACAGAAAGGTAACGTGCTCAAGTTGTCTTTCCAGCAGTGTAAGATGGCACAGGGCTGTCACACCATCCTGCTCTCCCATCTACCTCTACAGGAGCTCTGACTTGGCTTTTCTGCTGGTTGGAAAGGAGTCCTGGATCTGTGGCTGAGCTCCCGAGCAGATAGAAAATCACTGTATAGAGTGGAATCTGAAGGGCCGGCCAGACAGCTCAGTGGACTAAAGCACCTGCTTAGGCAGAACGCAGTGGCTGGGGTTCCACCCCCAGCTCGCCGGCCCTGCCCTCGGGGCACACTGAGATGGCGATTCAGACTGGGTATGGTGGTGCGCACCTGTAATCCCAGCGTTTGGAAGGCTGATCACTACAAGTCTGATCTATGTAGTGAGACCCTGTAAACCTCGTACTAAATTTAAAAAAAAAGTTAAAAAGGCAGAATCCACCCAGTGCCAAGTAGGCTAGAGATAGCTGCAGAGGCACAGGGTAGCAAGGTGGGACTCACAGAGGGGCTCAGGCTCTGAGGGCACCGAGGGAGGAGGAGGGCCTGGCAGACACCTGCTGCTCATGGCAGTAGTGCAGAGTTCCAGGACAGGGATGGAGTTGGAGCCAGATCCATCTCACTGGGAAGCGATCTCCTGCTGACCTCTGGTGTGCCCAGCGTGGCGTCAAGGGCGCTTCCTAGCTCGGGTGGTCTCTGAGGTGGTGAACCCCGCAGGGGGCAGCCATGACCCTGCGTGTGCCCTGGTGCCCATGTGATGCCTGCCCATGCCTCCGTCTCTCGAAGGACCTCAAGTGACTGACGTGGCCTTGGGCCCGTGTGGATCTGAAGTCAGCCGTGAACCATCATGTTCCCTAGGCACAGCCCTGCCTACAGTGTCGCCAGCTTGAGACCCTGCCTCCACGGGGTGTGCCGGTGGCAGTGGGCGTGGGTGGAAGGCCAGGCCTTGGCCTTGTCCAAGCGCCCCACATGCCCAGGCCTGTGCTTCCCCATCTGGCCCTGTGCTGTTCATACCAGTGCAGCTCTGGCCTGGTTTTCTAGCCTAGGCCAGCCTCTCCCTCTTTCTCTGAGTGAGGAAAGGACAGACAGATCTGTATGCCCAGGATGCCCACCCCACTGGAGATGCCTGCCGCTTCCTCCTTCCTGGCTCAGGGACCACCCAGCCTCCTCCAGGAAGCCTGCAGCTTCTCCGACCCACAGTACCCTCCTGCACCCAATGTTCCCTTTCATGGATGCCTGGCTGCGCACCACGCCCACTGCAGCCCTGTAGAGTGATGCAAGCTAGTAGAACTGAGCGCCAGCTGTAGGCAGGGCTGTGTCCGAGGCTTCACAAGCGTTACTGCTTCAACGAGCATCAACTCCGCAGCTCGCGCCAACCCTACAGAGCTGCCAGGCTGCTGCAGCTGTTCACAGATAGGAAACAGGACCAGAGAGAGCTAGCACCTTGCTCGGTACCTGGGTGTGGGCAGCATGGCTGGACCCACTAGGGAAAGGGGTGGGCATTTTGCTTTGCTGTTCTCTTTGCCCCCAAAGACAAGCTGAGGGGTAGGACAGGAGTGGGGTCCCGGGAAATCCGCTGGCAGCACCAAGACCTCCTCCCTCCCCGCCTGGCAAGGAAATCATTAGCTGTCAGAGCTGTCGTCAGATTACAGGGAATTGCTCGTCTCCTAATTATCTGGTGTTAATAGGAGATTAATTAGTGTTAATTGTTGATTTTCTTGTATTTTCCCAAAGGGGAGACCAATCTGCCGAACTCTCGGGCTGTTTAATTATTTGGTCTTGCTTAGGAATCCAGACAGATGCTTCTGGGTTTGTGGGCAAAAGGGAACGGGGAGGACAGTGGGGTGGCCCAGGGCGGGGCGGGTTGGGAGGAATCCCCAGCAGGGACAGCAGGACCTGCTGCCCTCTAGCAGCAGCTAGCTCCATCTCCCTGGAGAACAGCTGTCCTCACCCCAGGCTCAGTCCCTCTGAGATGTTATGCAGCCCCCTGCAGGCCCAGCACCACAGGGGACCAGACCCTGCCAGGGGTCTTCAGCACCAGCTTCTGTGGAACACAATTTGGGGAAAGTAACACAAAGTAAGATATAAATTGAAAAGTGACAGCGGAAGGTGTTTTCACAGCCACCAGGGCAATGGCAGCTGGTCCAGGGTAGCGATGAACGCAGAGAGCGGGCCCCCATCCCTTCACAGGGGCTCAGGAGCCCCGGGAAAGGGGTGCACGCTCCGACCTGGGATGCCGCACCCATGTCCAGCGTGTCCATTGAGCACTTGGAGCACCCTTGGATGGTCTGTCCTATAGCACCTGCCCCTGAGGAAACCCAGGGGTTTCCCTGCAGGGGTCCCTGCCGCCCACATCTGTCCCTCCTCCTCCATCATTTGGATCCTTTACAACTCACTGTCGCCACACACTTCTGACACCCACAGTGCATGCAGGGGTACAGTGCACTCATACACGTCCACGTGCGCCACGCGTGTCTGTGCACGTGTGTATGTGTGTATATCCATGCACACATGTGTTTGCACACACTGTGTTATTCTGAGTCCTGGCCTTCACCACTCTTCGGAACGGAAGATGGAAGGAATGATCTGTGTCCCCACGTGGCCTGGGCTGCTGGGTGAAGGCAGCTGCAGCGCGGGCCTTGGTGCCCCGACCCCTGCCCATGGCGGTCTCCCTGCCCGCAGCCCCTGTACCTTGGGCAAGGCCCCCGGCCACACTCGGACGGCGCCATGGTTGAGCAGAGCGCGGACCACATGCTCCGGGGTCTCGGCCAGGGCTGCAGCAGGGCCCTGCAGAGCACAGTGCAGGGGTGTGTGTCCCCCATAGTCCATGGCGTTGGCACTGACGCCACAGGACAGCAAGAGCTCCACAACGGCTGTGTGGCCTCGGCGACAGGCAAGGTGCAAGGGCCGCTGCCTGTCCTGGTCGGCAGCATCAGCATCTGCTCCCGCCGAGAGCAGTAGGTGGCACAACTGGAAACAACGGGCTGAGGTGGCCTGGGCATCGTCAGGGGATGGACAGCGAGTGTCACAGGCAGCCAGCAGCGGTGTCCAGCCTTCAGCATTGCGGGCATCAGGACACGCACCCCGTCTTAGCAGCAGGTCCACCAGCTCCACGTGGCCAAGTCGGGCAGCCGTGTGCAAGGGGGTCTCCTCTTCCTCCTCAGAGCGACCATCTACTCGTGCTCCAAACCTCAGCAGCAGGTCTGCACACCTGGGAAGGGCGAGGTGGCGGTGGAGGAACATGAGCCCGGGCTACACCTTCCTGCTGGCCTGCGCAGAGCAAACTGTCCTTGGCCATCTCAGCAACATTCTATGGGATGAACAGTAGCCTTTTTATTTGTTTATTTCTTGTTTTTGTTTCTTGGTTTGTTTGGGATAAGTCTCACTGTGTAGCCCAGGCTGGCCTCAGACTCACAGCACTCCTCCTGCCGCAGCCTCCTGCATGTGGAGATTACAGGAGAGTGCCACAACAGCTGGTGTAATGGCATTTTTAAAGCCCAGATTCTTTCTACAGGATTCACCCTCTGCCCCTTCCATGGGGACCAAGGTCACAAGCAATTGTCTCACGCCTAGCGCTGCATCCTCCTTGGGCCTGGTCACCATCCTGGGGGCCTCTTGTGACTCACATCACAGAGGGGGACGGAGGCTGTTGGCGTTTGAGCATCTCACGAGGTTTACACAGCTCATAATGGGGCCAGGGGCTGCAGGGTGCTTGTGGCTGGGCTGGGAAGCAGCCTGCAGCTCGGCTGTGGATACAAGGAAATGGGGCCGGAGACGCCCAGTTCCAAAACTCAGATGATCATTTGTGATCCAAGATGGCACTTGGGGGAGATATGTGGGCTAGCGACAAGCTCCCAGGGTCCCAGCACAAGCGGCCTCCTGCTCCAGCCTCCTACGTGTGGAATGGGGCAATAACAAGGCCTTACGGGGAGTGTTTGGGGCTGTACCCAGGACTTTTGCACTGAGCTGTGGCTTCGCCATTTGTTGTTGTTAAATTTGAGACAAGGGCTCTCTAAGTTGCTCAGGTGGGGCTTGAACTTGTGATCCTTCTGCCTCAGCCTCCCAGAGTTCTGAGATTACAGCTGTGTGGCACAGCACCCAGCCCATTATCATTTTAAAAATACATTTGTGTGTGGGCTGGGGAGATAGCTCAAGGGCATAAGCGCCTGCCTGGCAAGCCTAAGGTCCTGAGTTCAAACCTGTACCAAAAAAAAAAAAAAAAAAAAAAAAAAAAAAAAATTGTGTGCTTAGTAAAGAAAGAATGATTATACCTGGACTGAAATGTGGTCAGAACAAAGAAGATGGCGTTACGTGGGCTGTGCTGCCTGACAGGACCAAGCGTGGACAGCATGGTGCTTTTCAGGGCAAGGTGTGAAATTGGGCAGGGGTGGTGTCGGGGCAAGAGGGGCCTGTGCTGTGTGTAGAATTTGCTCCGAGGGGCTAGGGAGATAGCTCAGTAGAATAAGCGCCCCTGAGTTCAATCCCTGGTTCCGCCAAAAAGAAAAAAAAAAAAGAATTTGCTTGGAGATTTGCCAGGGCGACCTTTGTTTGTGTTCACTAAAACACCGAGAGGGGACTTACCCTCCAAGTCCCTTAAATACAGGTCGTACTTGTTTATGTCAATGCAGAGGAAGAGGCCACTGGGCTGTGCATGGGCGGAGCCAAGGCTTTCTTGTGGAAACCGAGCTGACTGCCCATAGCCCGGCCTTGGTGGCCTCTCTGTTCTGCAGTGTCTGGGTCCCTGGACAGCAAGCTCCCCGTGGGCAGGACCAGGCCCTAGCTCCTCCATGTGTAGGGCGGTGTCTGGGACACTGGATAAGCTCAGACAGGATTCAGGCTGTATAGCAACATCACCAAGCTCCACGGATCGAAATGATTTCCTCGGGGCAAGCCCACTGCTAGGGACCAGGGGGGGTGACGGATGGGGCGTAGTTGCTCCCCACTCCTCCACCCCTGCCCAGCATGCCTGCCAGCGTGCAACCTATCCCTACCCTCACCTGACCGCCTCTCGCCTCCCTTAGGGGGCACTAGGGTGTGGGAAGGAGGTCACTCACGGGAGGGCGCCAGGACCTTGGCAGAGATGCAGGGGTCGTTTCCCGTCCTGGTCAGGGAGGTTGGGGTCAGCACCGGCCACCAGCAGCACATGGACACAGGTGCTGTGGCCAGCTGCGCAGGCCTCGTGCAGGGCGGTGCGGCCCCCTGGGGCGCTGTCCGGCTGAGCCCTGCGCCTCAGCAGCAGCCGCAGTACCTCTGTGTGGCCCCGGCTGGCTGCCACGTGCAGTGGGGTGGTCAGCTCCTCCTGGTACGTCAGGGACCATAGTCCTAGGGAGAGAGGGGCGCGAGCCTCAGAGCTTAAGAGTGGCATTGGCAAAGGGGGCCCAGAGCTCTGCTGCAGCCCCCAGCCCCGCCGGGGTCCCAGGACCTCAGCCCATACTCAGAGCACGGATGTTGTATCGGAAGTCCCTCCACCGCTCTGGGTCGCTGGTATCAAAGACAGAATCAGGAGCCAGGCTGGCACTGGAGTCTGAGAGGATGCGGGACACAGAGCCTGCGTCCCCTGCCAGCACTGCCTGCCAGAAGGCGAGGGCAGGTCCTGAGGCTGTGCGGGTGGCGATGGGTCCCAGGCGGGGCTCCGGAGCTTCCTCAGAGCCGCTGCCGGGCCTTTCCACCAGCCTGGCACAGAGGGTGTGTCTGTCACCCTGGGGCTGTCGCTGCCCCCGGCACTCTTCTGGGGACCAGCTCATGAGCTTGCAGGAAGAGCAAGAGGCCAGAGGAGGGAAATGCAGAGATTGAGGCCGAGTGTCGCTGCGTCCCCAGCTGGAGCCCGGCCTGGCCACGAGGTCCGGCAAGAGCTATTCTGGGCTCCGCGTGACTTCTCCTCAGGGCCAAGGTGTTTGTGGTGGGGAGCAGCAACCAGGGGCTTCACCACTTCCCAGAGCCCTGGGGTTCTGTGCCTGGAGGGCTCAGGCCAGCCCAGATCACACGTAGGTCCCCCACAGCAGGCGGCCCCTCACCCCTCTGGTGGCTGCTCCATCGTGGCTCCGCGGCCTGGCTCTGCAGCAGCAGGTTGGCTGTGCTGTGCGGGGGGAACAGGGCCTGCAGCCTCTCCAGGTCCCCGGTGTAGAGCGCGTTCTGCAGGGCCATGTCCTGGCAAGGCAGTGGCGAAGGCCATGAAGGAGTCCCCCAGGTCGGGCAGGAAGGGGCCAAAGGGAAGCGCTCCAGGCGCTGTCCCCGGAGGGCTGGGGAGCCCCTTTCCCTGGGCATGGCTGGTTCCTGGGTGAGAACGCCGGAGCAGTGGGACTGGTGGTGGGGAGCTCTGGGTGTGGGCGGGGTGGGGTTCTGGGCCCCACCAGGCAGTGGAAGGAACAGGCAGCACACACAGACCGCTATAAATAGCCCATAAATAGCCCCGCTGGCCCTGCCCCAGTGCCAGCTAGGAGGAGCAGAAGGGGATCTGCGGCCCAGGGAAGAGCTATGTTTGCCCCTCCCCCCGTGCCCACTCCCATGCCCATCTTCCTCTTCCTCCTCTTCTTGAGAGCACAGGGGCTCCCCAGAGTTCCTGACCTGGCCCACCTCAAGCCACTCTGTCCCTAGCAAAGGTGCCCACAGACACCCCCTGTACCCCAGGCAGGAGCCACGTCCCACTGGCTAGGGATTGAGGCTCTGTACAGACAGGTGGTAGAAGGGTCACTAAGGGAGGAGGTGGAAATGGCCACGAGAGGGCAAAGGTTCCACAATCTGTCTGCTGAAACCTGTAGAACTTGGGATGTTAGCAGCGGGACCAAACTCTCTCACACTTGCAAAGTGAGGATACTGAGGCCCGGGACACACAGGGAGCCCGCACCAGCGGGGTTGGGGGCGCAGTCAGCATTTCTCTTTTCTCACTGCACCCCTCCTTTCTCCCCCCCTCCTCTTTCTCCTCTCCTTCCTCTCCTAACTTTTCTCCTCCAAGTACCACAAGGGGCAAAGGAGCTGGAAGCTGGCACATAAAGTGCCAGGCAGGGGCTGTCGGGTAATCCCCGAAGGCAGCAGGATTTGGGCTAGGGCAGAGGGAGGTGGATGGAAGAGGCAGGGTGGGCTGGAAGGCGCACAGCAGACAGATGGATGAGACAGAGCGTCCCTGTCACCCTGGCATTTATACATGTCCCCTGTCCCGCAGGCCCCAGGCGCTGCCCATGTGGACGCCGCGGGGCTCCACACTTCACTTCTTGTTCTTCTCCTTGGTCAGTTTGGCCTCCTCAGTCTCTAACTGGCCCTTGCTGAGGACCATGCTCTTCTTGCCCAGTGGGGTCTTGAAGTACCAGTCCTGGGTTTACAGGGAGGGAGTTAGTACAACAGGTCAACCCTTGGCTCTCATTGCCCTCCCTCTCCCCTCTCCTCTCTTTAGGGGTCCTGTGTCCTCCTGTCTCGGAATCTGCAGGTCCTATCCCATTGGAGCTCACCTTGCTCCCCACCAAATACTCCAGTCCAGCCAGACATGGCGGCACACCCTTGGAATCCCTGCATTCATGAGGCTGAGTCAGGAAGATTGCTCTGAATTTGAGACCAGCCTGGGCTACCTAATGAGCACAAGGCCACCCTGAACTGCATAGTAAGACCCAGAGTCAAAAGCAAGACAAGACCCTCCAGGACAGAGTTAGCTATCGGGGGATGTCCCCTTTCACCCCAAGGCTTCTTTTCTGGGTCCCCAAGTCATATGGTCTCACCTTCAGGGACTCCTCCTCCTCCCTGTACACTGGGTCCAACTTCGCCAGCTGCTCCAGGAACTCTGAGGGCCTGAGAGGCCGCCTGGACAACTGCAGGAGCCGCCTATCGTTCAGTACGGCATGGGCGGCTTGGACGATGTGACCAGACGTGTAGCCATCGGACACCCTGGCCAAGGCGCTGAGGTCCAGGCTGGGAGTCACCTGTGTCCGGGCCTCTATCAGATGCCTCCAGAGCACTGCAGGCAGTGGGAGGGCGCTGGCGTGAGCAGTAGGGGTGGCCCTCGGGGACCAGAGCTCAGAGTCTCCCAGGGCTTAGAGCCCTGACCCCAGGCAACAGGGCCAGGGTTGGCAGGGGCACAAGGGCCCCTCCGGCCCAGGCTCACCGTAGCGGGAGGCGTAGTCAGGCCGGGGCACGTAGAGGATGCGCTCGTACAGCCGGCACAGCCCCTTCATGTCCGCCAGCTGCGGCTGCTCCGAGGTTCCGATGAGCAGCACCCGGTCCCCTGGACTCAGCAGCCGCACGGCCTTGCCCAGGTCCTTCCTGATGCGCTTTGGGTCCATCTTTCCGGGAAGGGGTCACTCTGGGTGGGGATGTGGCAACCAAGCCCCTGCCCAGCCCACAGTGAAGACCCGCCTGAGGTCTCGGCCCAGTTTCCTGGCCCGGGCTCTGCCCACCTCGGCCCCTCACCTGCCTCTCTTCTTTTGGGATCTTCTTATAGAAATTTTTCTCAGCGTCTCCAATCCAGATGACAGAGGGCTGGAGCAGCTGGGCCACCTGCAGGGACCAGGATAGCCATCAGTGGAAGATGCCCTGGGCAGGGGCCATGCCCCTTCCAGGCAGACCCCAGCTTTGGGCTGACCTGGAGGCCCTGGCTGAACTTCCCACCCTCCCAGGCCTTTGCACACCCACGTTACTCACTGTCAGTCAGAGTCACTGTCCTCTGTGCGGGTAAGGGGAGCACAGTACACTTTATTTATTTATTTTTTTTTTTCTTCAGTGCTTGGGATCAAACTTGGGACGTTGCACTTGCCAGGCAGGCAGGCGCATATACAGCTGAGCTATTTTCCCAGCACCCCCCCCCCCTTTTTGAGAAGGGTCTCACTTTGTAATTGGCTGGCCTTCAACTCCCTATGGAGCCAGAACTGGCCTTGAACATGTGATCCTCCTGCCTCAGCCTCCCAAGGGCTGGGATTATACATGTGCACCACCAAGCCTGGCTATGCCTCATCTTACCATGAAAAGAAACCGCTCTGCCCCCCAGCTTTCCCCCTCAGGGGCTTTGGGAGGACCCCCGCTCCTAGCAGGGCTTGGCAGGGAGACCAGAAACCCACCCCACAGGTGACGCGGGGCACAACGCCCACCCTGCTCTGCCGTCCCAGCCTACGCCCAGAAACTCGAAGCCCCCGGGCTCCAGACCTTGAAGACCATGTGCACAAGCATCTCAGCCCCAGTCTTGCCCAGGTATTTGCCCTGCAGATTTCTAGGTGACAAGTCGAACAGGTTGGCCCCAGTTTCTGTGCACACCGCATGGACCAGCATCTTCTTCCCTGTGCCAGAGGGCCCCACCAGGAGGACAGATCGGATGAGGGGAGCCAGGGAATGAATGTCTGCAGAGCCTAGAGCAAGGAGACAGCCCGAGGAGGTGGATGAGCGGCTCGCTATATAGCTCAGGCTGGCCGCCTGCTCGTGGGAATCCTCCTGCCTCAGCCTCCCACAGCCTGGGATGGCAGGTGCACGACACCACACCTGACTCATTCAATTTCTAGGGTGGTGCCCCAGCAGCCCCTGAGGAAGGCGGAGTCACCCTTGCCTGATCCCAGCCCCTACCCGGCAGGGCCTCTCCTTTCCCCAGACCTCACCCAGCCGGAGGACTCCGTACAAGGCCATGTTCTGTCGTATATCAAACAGGGCAGGCATGGGAATCTTGTTAGCCAACATCAGCGCAGACCCCAGGTAGAGGCAGTCTCCTGCAGGGACAGGGCAGGTGGCCTGGTGTACGGGGCTGTGGGTGACCGCAGGGGACAGTCCCAGGCAGCCGGGGCCAGGTGCTGGCAGGCGCTCACCTACATAGTCTTTCAAGGCCACGTTGTCACTCTTCTTTAGGACACCAGCAATGACAAGCTCTTCATACAGTGAGTCCAGGGTCCTGGAGGGTCAACATGGAAGACCCCAGCAACATTAGCAAGTGAGGGGCAGGGAGGCAACGGGGGCTATGGGCAGAGGAGAAGGGACAGCAGTCTCCTGCCTAGCATGCTGGGTTTTTAGAGGCTAATCTCCTTGGGGTTTTAGCAGTTTCTAGGGTCATGTTCGGGTACATAACGGTCACCTTCCTCTTGGGGAGCTGGTGCAGGCGTGGCACACATCTGGATTCTTTTCATGTCCCTTCCCTCCTCCCTTTCTCCATCACTTGGTCCCCTTCCCATGGCAAAAGACCTCATTTGCTCTTTATTTATAATTTGGGTTTTTCATAGGAGAGAACCCATCCACTAAGCTCGTGTCTGATTGCCTTCACTTCTCCAGGGTCCTCGATGTCCCCTCACGAGGCTCTATCTCTCCTTCTCTGTGGCGCAGTGCTGCTGTGCTACGCAGACACCATGCTTGCTTTATCCAGCCATCACCTGCCGATGGCCATGCAGGCCGCCCCCAGACGTAGCTATGATGAGCTGCGCTGCTGGAATCGGGGCACGTGGGGATCACTGCACTAGGAAACGCTGGCTCCTGCCCACATTTGTGGTCAGAAACACTCACAGCAGACAACAGAACCAGAAGATGTAGAACCAGAAGTGGGTGCTCCGAGGAATGATGGGGACAGAGCAAGGTCCCATCCAGCAGCCCTTGGGGACAACCCCAAACGCCACCACTGGGGTACCCCAGCCCTCTTCCTGAAGCCAACTCTATGCTGAGTCTCCAGGAGAGAATCAGTCAGGGCACTGCTATTGCCGGACTGGGGCCACCAGAAGGGCAGGTAGAAAGGGGTAAGGATGGGTCCCTTGGTGCTGGGGTGGGGAAGCAAGGGACAGATGGCTCTAGAGGACAGAGTTAATGAAGGTGAAGGCTGGAGGAGCCCTGGCCATCATGAGCCCCATTTGAGCCTAGTCTGCACTCTCATTTTCAAAGGCAGGAAGCTGGTGAACAGGGCCAAGGGTCCGGAGAGGTGACAGGACTCTCCCCAGGCCGCCCAGCTGTGGAGCCAGGTCCCCTCTCCAGGCCACGGCTACCTGTCTGAGGTCAGATCCTTTTCCTTCTTCCTCTTCCCAGGCTTCTTGCTAGGCTTCTTCTGGTTGGGAAAAGGCACATGGGTGGCTATCCTCAGCTTCCATCCCCCTTCCCTGGTGTCCCCCTCCCAGCCAGCCGCAGCCCCTCCTCTGCCTTTGGAGTCTTGAAAGGCCTCCCGTCCTCCTTGTCCACAGCCAGACGGAGGTTCTTCAGCTCCTGCCGCATGAGCTCGTCCACCTGGGGACCAGCAGATATAGCAGAGACTGTGGAGGAGGGGCCAGGAGGGGCCCGAGGGGTGTGCTCACACAGAAGACGCAGGCAAGAAGGGCAGGTGGCAGCAGGGACCTGGACTCTTTCCCTTCCTTCCCTCCCCGTCCCTACAAGACAAGGGGGAGCCTTAGGAAGATGGGGTGCCAGGGCACGGGCAGAGGTGGAGGGAAGAAGGCAGGCGGGTGGGGGAAGCGGCGGCCCAGGGCCCGACAGTGCCCCTCACCTGTACACGGAGCTCCGCTTCCACTTCCTTCTGCTTCTCCTCCCAGAGGATTTCAGGGTCAAAGCTCTGGCTGGGGTGTTGGCTCTTGCTCCGGTTCTTCCACACATCTGATTGCACACAAGGAAGGGATGCGTAAGCCGGAGTCTTACCCATATGTGCACACAGGCATGTACACATACACACATGCGCACACGAGCATATGCACATACACACAAGCGCATATCCACACACATGCATACATGCACGTGCACACACACACACACACACAGGTGCTGGAGCTGGGTGCTCTGCCTGTTCCCACCCAGCACTGGTTCTGTCCAGGGCTTCACCCCCAGGCTTGTGGCCACAGGATTCAGACCGAAACCCTTAATACCCTGGCCCACGGGACTGCTGCCACCACATCATGGAACCCCTTTATGTCCACACAGCAGGTGCCTGCTTTCCCATGACCAAGCCCCCAAGACTGACCTGTCCCAGTGCCCTCCCTCTTACTGATGTATTCCTGGTGTCCTGAGGTGATCCCAGGGATAAACTTGGAGGGCAACACTTTCAACATGGTCTCTGCTTCCTAAAACAGAAACACGCCCGGGCCTTGGCCACTCAGCCCCACCAGGGCCATCTCTGCTTCACTCTTACCCTGGCCAGCCCGGTTTGTCCTTGCCCCCCCTGGTGTGGGGGACTGTCTTACCCCCTTCTTGACCTTTTCTTCCTTCCCTTTCTTTTTTTCCTTTTTTGTCTCCTGGTCTCTGTCCTTACTCGTCTCTTTCACCTTCTTCTTGCTCTCCTGGGGCTGCATCTGCAGTTCCATTTTTACCTGCAGCCAGTGAGAAGTGTTTGGAGAGCAGGAGGTCCTACGGGAGTGAGATCTGTGGCCCAGGATGGCAGAGAGCTGGATGCCAGGGGCCAAGGACACTGCCGGGGTCCAGGACAGCAAGTGCGCAGACTGCGCAGGGCTCCTACAGGAAGCGCTGTTCTGAGCTAGGCTGCCACTCACTCCAGTGTCTTGGGGACCTGGAGTCACATGGGCCCAGCCTCTTTCCTCTCGGGGTTCTTTTCCAGGCCTACACCATCTTCTTAGGCACCATCTGCCCACTGTCATGGCCACCTCTGCCTCCATTGGAGCTAGCTCTCCCCACCGTGCCATCGCTCTCAGCCTAACTCTAGACATTCTCTGTGACCCCGGGCTCTATGTGCCACAGGAACCCTCCTGTCCCCACTTCTAAGGTACCTGCTCTGGGGTCTTCTCAGCGAAGATCAGGCAGGATCCACCCAGTGACTCGTCTGGATAATCAGGGAACTGGCCAGTAATGGCGCTGTGTAGACATAAGATGGGCGGAGATAGGTGCTTGGACAGACAGGGCATGGGTGGGAGGGTGGGCAGATGCGTGGATGGGTGGGTGACTGGGTGGGTGGGTGGATAGGATAGATGAATTGGTGGACAGACAGAAGGTAGGATGGGTGGAAAGATAGAAGGATGGATGGATGGGTGGGTGGGTGAGTGAGTGGGTGGATGGACGGATGGATGGATGGATGGATAAGTAACAGCCTGGGTGGATGATGCATGAAGAAATGGTTGGATAAGTAGTTAGATGGGTGGATGAGTGATAGGATGGACAGAGAGATGGAGAAGCTAAAGGAACAGAGAGATAGAAGAGAGAGGAAAGAGATGAGCAGATATGGGATGCAATGGAGAGACTTGTCTAGGGCCATTTGTGCGCTTTCCCCATTGCATCCAGGCATTTTCTTTACTCTCAGGAAGCAGAAAGCAAGCATGGAGCTGGTCTCTACGTTGGAGGCTCCCGGCTTAAGCCAGGTGTGAAGGCACAGGGAAGGAAAGGGCCAGTGTGGGAAAGAAGAGGGCAGAAGCAGCTCAAAGAACGCTGGGGTGGGTGAGAGCGGGGGCCCCAAGGCTCTGGACACTGACCGGCACTCAATAAACCACTGTCGAATTTGCTCCCTCATTTTCTCCCTCATGTCCGGTCCCTGGGTCTCAGCGACACATTCCCGGGCCTTCACCCTGGCCTGGTGGAACTCCTCCTCCATCTCCTTCTGGCGCTGCCTCCGGCTCTCCTCCCTGAGGGTGGCCTTCCTCAGGATGTCCAAGTGCTCTGCCTGGCTGGGCATGGGGAGCTGGGGGCACACAGGGACAGAGGCTGGGGCTGAGGGTGGCGGGCGCACCTGCCCCCCTCCCTGCCAACACACCCACCCGGAACGGCAGCAGGCATGCATCGGGAGAAATTGTGCTCTGTGCGAAGCTCGAAGCTTGTCTGTGTAAATTACCCCAATAATGAGTTTGTTGAAAACATCCACGCTGGCCCCCGCCCACCCCCTTCGCCCCTCCCTGAAGCCTCTGGCCCCAGCCCCCACCACCCCACCCGTGGCCGAGTTGGCAGCCGCTCTTGAAGCCACTTTCCCGCCTCATTGGCTCCCAAATGTATTTTAAATATCACTCTGCGCAGAGACAATTACTGAAAACGCTGAGCTCACACTGTTGATGGGCCCAGGCGGCCAGGCTCATTCCTCACCCACCGCCATGCCATGCCCCCCAACCTCTCCCCACCAGGCCTGGCCCCACCTCCGTCTGCCTGCTCTGCCTCCCAGGGGTCCAGCTCTCCAGACTCCCAAGGAGTCTCTGACCTCCACCCCCACCCAGCAGCTTGTGGTACCCCCGTCTGCCAAGCCTTCCCTTCCCCTCCCGGTCCCAGGCTGGCATTTGCCTCCTGTGTCAACTGAGCCTGTGGGGGGGGGCGGTTCTGCCCAGGGACCCCAGCTCCTATTCCTGCCAGCTCCGGTCTGTCTCAAGTCAGCAGCAACTCCCTACTCCAGGGGACCCCCAGAGAGCACCAAGCAGATTGAAGGGTCTGAACCACTTACCTGCCTGGACACACACACACACACACACACACACACACACACACACCATGCTGTGCACACTCAGCCATCCTCCCTGCAAAGCTGAGAGGGGAATCTGGACCCCAGGACAAGTGGGGAGCTTGTGGCCTGCAGAGCCCTGGCTTGGGTGTGGCCCACTCTATGGCCTGTGCTCCTCCTTCTGCACTGCCACCCTGCAGTCTCTCTGTCCAGCTGGGCAGGGACATAGGTCTAGGGTGCTCTGTGACCCCATCCCCCACACTGGAGAACTCTCAGAGGAGGGACACGAGGGACACATCAGGGTGGCTTTCCTCCCTCAGCTTCTCTTGGCCCAGGATCTCCTGTCCAGTGTGAGCAAGCCCCGAGGGCACTGGGGGCTGTGTGCTGGTGCTGGGCCTGGAGGACCCGCCCCGGGGCCCCTGCTGTGGCAGGGAAGGGCTCACCATGCCAATGAACTCCATCTCCTTGCGCCGGTCCTGCTGGGTGCGTTTCCTTTGCAGGTGACCTTTCCACACCTGGGGTAGGGACACACAGTGCTCAGGGGCCTTCCATGCAGGCACGGAGGGCTGGGGCACAGGCCTGGTGGTCTCCAGGCTTGATGGAGAGGGAGTCCAGGGCATGTAGATGCATACCTCCTTGGCAGAAGCTCCCAAGTTAATACCTCAAGTTTTTGGGTTTGGTTTTGGTTTTTCATGATACTGACACTGGAACCCAGGGCCTTTGCACTGGGCTACATCTCCATCCCTTTTCTGATATTTTACTTTGAGACAGGGTCTCATCTAGTTGCTAAATAACCCAGGCTGGGCTGAAATTTGCTGTCTTCCTACTCAGCCTACCACAGTATGGGCCCGTGTCCTTGCCCACTGCCAAGTGCAGAGCCCCTCCCCAACCACACCCGGCAGGGAACAGCTGGAGCCATGGGTGCGGGTGGGGCCAGTGGCAGAGGGGGCCGACCCGGCACACAGCCTGAGCTGCCTGTTCCCATGCTGGCGCCCCCACCAGCAGGGGCAGCCTCTGGTACTGTCTAGCTGGGTCCTCCAGCTTCTGTGGTTGGTGCAGAATGGCCCACAATACTTCCCTTTTAAGCATGTGCTGGGTGGAGAATTACAAGAGTGGAATGTGTATTTCCACAGCACGTCCTGCTGCCCCTGTCCTGTGCTGAGGACTGCTCCCCTCCTGGCCAGACTCTGCTGTTTCACCCACACACAAGCACAGGTGGGATGCCCAGTGTCCCAAGTGATAAAGTAAACTCTGTCCCTTTAGGAAGGATGTACAAGGGGTGATCGCAAAATACAGGAATTGTTTAACTTTTAAAAAATTACAGGGCTGGCCAGATAGCTCCTCAGATTACAGTGCCTGCTTAGGCAGACGCAGGGACCAGGGTTCAATCCCCAGCCCGACATACGGGCCCTGACCCCCAGGCGCACTGAGACTGATAGAGACTGGGCATGGTGGCACACACCTGTAATCCCAGCGCTTGGGAGCCTCAAAGCAGGAGAATTACTACGAGTCCATTTCTGTAGTGACACCCTGTAGACCCTGCACTAAATACAACAACAACAATAATAATAATAATAATAATAATAATAATAATAATAATACAGCCTGAAGAGATAGCTCAGTGGCATAAGCACCTGCTTGGCAAGCACAAGGTCCTCAGTTTGATACCAGTACCAAAAAAAAAAAAAAAAAAAAAAAATTACAGACCCATTGCCCTGGATCGCTCCCAACACCCGCCCCCTGGCTCTGCTGATGCTGCTCCTGGCTTCTTGACACTTTCTGCAGCAGCTCTGGAGGGCAGTCAGGTGTGTCTTCAGTTGTGCCCTCACGGCTGCCTCAATGTCCTGAATGGATTAGAAATGTTAACTCTCTGTGGTCCTTTGGAGTTGGGAAGAAGTCACACAGTGCCAGTTCCCGTGAAGAAGGTGGATGAGGAAACAGCATTAGAGAGCCTGCCTTTGTGCAGAATGGTGCTCAGCAGCAGCAGTCACCATATCTGTAACCACACCTCCTAAAGACACTCATGAAGGAGGACATCCAGAGCTGCTGCAGAAAGGAGCAGGAAGGGTGGGAGTGGCACGTTGGAAGCGAGGAGGAGGCTTTGAGGGAATTAATGGCAGTGCATCTTTTACTGTAATAAAATTTTAAATTTAAACAGTTACTGAATATCCTTGTAGCCTCACAGAGTGATTATGTCATGGTTTAGTCTTGAGGTCCTGGGGGGAATGGAGACATAGCCTTCCACTAGTAAGCTGGGAGACAGAAATCTTTAAGGCACTGGACTTGAAAGACAGAAAGCAGGAGAGGAGGTGGACTTGCAAGGGAAACAAGGCCTGGCTCATGTCGGCATGGAGTTCTGGAAGGAAACGGGAGCCACTTGGTGATATGTCAAGGATGTGTGGTGCAGCAGCGGCCTCCAGGGCAGAAAGTGGTCTCCTGCTGCCCTGGGAGCTGCCTTGGCCTCTCTGGCTCCTGGCTCTGGCAGCCTGTGGCAGCAGCACTGCTGGGAGTGGCAGAGAGGCCGGGTCTGCAAGGCTTTCCTGAGACCGTGGGAGCAGAGGGCTTGCCAGAGCTGGGCGTGCTGGTGGTTACTGGAGCAGCGCTGGGGCGATGGTGCTGTTTGGATGCTGAAGTAAAGGTGACACTGGGAGGACAGCGCTGTGGGGGACTCAGCCCCAGTTATCAAACTCCAGTTCACCATGATGCGCAGGGTACATTTTAGCGGCTCCTTATGTCTGTTTTACAGTCACACTCCCCCCCCCCCCCGGGGACGGTACTGAGGACCTTGTGTTGCCGTGCAAGTGCTTCTGCTGCTGAGCTATATTCCCAGCCCAATAGTTTTTTGAATAATCATTTATTGTTCTGCTATTCTCTTTCTTACATTTTTTTTTTTTTTTTTTGGTAAAAAATGGCCCAGGCTGGCCTCACATTCTTGGCAATCTCCCTGCCTCAGCCTCCTGAGTGCTAAGATTACAAGTGGGTGCCACCAGGCTGGCCTACTGCTCTGCTATTCTATAAGAATTTTTCCATCCTAACCTTTTTTCACCTTCGTGGTACTAAGGATTGAACCCATGGCCTTCAAGCTGGGCTATAACCCCAACCCTTTTTTTTCCTTTCAATTTTATTTTATTTATTAATTTAGTTTTTCTTTTTTTGTTACTGGAGATCAAACTCAGCAAACTTGTGTTGCCATCCAGGCGCTTATACTGCTGGGATCTCCCCCCGTGCCTCTCCCCACCCAGCCTTTTAAAATTTTTGATTTCAAGTCAAGGTCTTACTAAGTTGCTAAATTACTTAGGCTGGACTTGAACTTGTGCTCCTCCTGCCTCAGCCTCCCAGAGGGCTAGGATTACAGGTGTGCACTGGCATGTCTGACTCTCTGAATCTTCATTACAATGCTCTGCGGCTAGGGCTTTTACCCTACTTCAGATCTGTTTGAGGATTGACATATAGACTGCATATGAAGCAGGGAACACACATGCTAAGTGCCAAAGGCCCCCAGGGGACCCTGGCCGGGGGACAGCAGAGTCCGGGAACCCACAGTCCTATCAGCTGCTGAGCCTGGAAGGCTTCCTGGAGGAAGCGGCCATACCCTGGCCTTCCTTCAGGCTGTGGTTACCTTCTGTATGACCAGCGCTGCCTGGTCCTGACTGAACTTGTGCCACTTGTCCTCGCGGACCTTCCGGTCCCGCTCCTCCTCTCTCCGGATCTCTCGCATGAAGGTGGCTCGCAGCCGGCCTTGTCGCGCACGCTCAGCCCTCTGCACCAAGATGACGGCCTCGGTCCTGTGCAATCCTGGAAGGTTCTGGCTGGGGCAGGAGCAGAGCGGGCGGCCTGAGGGACAGCTTGCGCCCAGCAAGGGCAGACACCAGAGGCCGCACGGGCTGCGGTCCTCCTGGGGGAGTGGGCCCAAAGGGCAGGGCTTCCGTCCCCGGCATCGCCCCTACCTCCTCGATCATCACTGTCCTGGCCAGGATGTCCGCCAGCTTCTGTTGCCACTCCTTCACTGCGCTGGGCTGCTCCAGCCGGAAGTATCTGGGGATCGGGACCTCGAGGTCTGCCTTTGGGACACAGGGGGGGATTCTGGCAGTTGGGCCAGGTTTTGCTCACCGGCCTGTCTTCTTTCCCAGGCCCCCAGGCTGGCCTCGACCTTGGAGTGACTCCCCTGCCTCAGCCTCCCAGTGCTGGATTTAGAGGCTGGCTCAGCCACACCAGTTCCTTGCCCCTTGTCTCAGCAGGGCTTTGGAAGGCCATGCGGAATCTGTGGCCCAAATCTGGCTGTACTCTTGGGCTTTCCCCATGAGCCCCCAACTCCACCCCCACCCCAGCCACCGCAGCACAGCACAGCCTGAGAAATCTGCCTCTTTCCTAGCCGGGTCAGCAAAACGCTGAGGCCGTTTGGGCCGGAGCCATGCCAAAACCGGAGCCTTGGAGAGGGTCTGGGGCCTCCCAGTAGTGCTACAGGGCAGAGTCTAGAATCTGGGGGTACCCCGACAAGGCGGGCCAGGGACAGCAGGCTCGTGGTACAGCCCCCGATTCCAGCGACCAGCAAGCAGGCTGCTGGGTGAGAGAACCCCTCTGAACGGGGTGGGGGGCGCCCTCCCCATTGAGCCCAGCCCGGTCGGTGCCCTTCTCCTTGCCCACCCTCCTCTCCCAGCCCGGGTGCCAGCACCGGCGTCAGCATGAGGTCCTGCAGCACCCGGTACAGGCAGTGCGTCTCGCACAGGTCCACGCGCACCAGCTCATCCTTGAGCTCCAGCACGCGGCCAGCCACGCCGTCCAGCAGGCGCCGCACCAGCAGGCGCTTCTGCGGCTGCGCCATCTGGTCGTAGATGGCGTCGAACTGGCGCAGCAGCCCCAGGTAGCGCAGGTAGAGCGCAGCAAGCCGGAATCGGAAGGCCTGGTGATCCCGGTGGGGCACGGCGTCCAGCAGGGCCTGCTCTCTGCCCAGCAGCTCCTGCAGGGTCCCATGCGAGGCCACCCACAGGCGCTGGTAAGCTCTGGAGGGGCACACACAGGGGCGCTGTGAGCCAGGGGTGGGGGAGGTGCGGGGGGACGGGGGCGGGGCTATGGAGGACATAGAGCTCAGGAGTCCCCATGGTGCCAAGGGGCCTCAGAGAGAGGGGCCGCCAGGGGACTGTGCGGCCACCAGTCTGGCTCAGAGAATGGGTGAGATTTGGGTGCTGGAGACCCCGAGGGGAGTGAGGAGAGTGACCAGGACTCCTGTGAGTGGGACAGGTGCAACATGGCCCCGAGTGGTGGCTGCGGAGTGGGGTGAGGACAGAAGTCCCAGAGCCTGGCATGGTGGCGCACACCTGTCATCTCAGCACTCAGGAAGCTGAGGCAGGGGGATTGCCCGTGTTCCAGGCTAACCTGAACTACAGAGTGACCCGGTCTCAGGGTCCCCAAGGACCCCCAGCCTTCACTTACCCCTCAGACATGGTGTCCACACCTCACACCACCCTTGTCACCTGAGTGTGGAGCCCACAGAACCTCACTGGTTCTCCTGAGCTACAGCAGAACAGCCAGGGCTTAGGGTTCCGACTCAGTGTTCTAAAGACACCTGGGACAGAGGCCTGGGGACGCCTGTCTAGGAAGGGACACAAGGATAGTGGCAGGGTGAGGGCAGGACACCAGGGTGACTTTTCTTGTGCGAGAATGAAATGAAATCGCTGTCAACACTTGAGGTCACCTGAAAGCTGTGAGTTATCCTAAAAGCAGTATTCTGTGGGTTCTCATCTGAGGAAACTTCCTTGCCTCTTTTTCCTGAGGTGAGTTTTGCTGTGCTGCACAGGCTGGTCTTGAACTTCTGTGCTCAAAGGATCTTTCTGCCTCAGTCTCCCCAGTTTCTGGGACTACAGACATGCTGTGAGCTGAGTCGAGCTCCCCAGGCTCCTATGCAATCTGCCTTTACTCTTTTTTTTTTCCATAATTTTATTGATAAACAAATAGCAATGAGACAGTTTCAAATCAAATTGGCAGGACAGTTTCAATAATTAACACATTGTTACTCTTTTTCAAAGCAATTAGTGCTAGGGATGGAAGCTGAGGCCTACACTGAGCATGCGCTCTACCACAGAGCTACATCCTGGGCCTGGACTGTTTCCACTTTTTTTTTTTTTTTAATCTAAGACAGGGTCTCAGCTTTGCTCAGGCTGGCCTCAGACTCATGGTGACCCTCCAGTCTCAGCCTCCTGAGCTGGGATCACAGGTGTGTACCCCACTCTACCCCGGTGGGCTCTGCCATTTCATCACATGGGACCATCCCAGGAAGCCTTGCTGATAGGAGCGAAAGGGGTGGAGCCCTGCAGCCCCCTCTGGGTCGGAGGCTCCTTTGCAGCCCTCTGTGGGATCCCCAGCGGGGTGGGTGGCAGGCCCAGGAGACCAGGCTGCGGAAAACAAGAACATATTACCAGCAGCAGCAGCTGGTTCCCATCAACCAGAGCTGCCTTCTGGTTGTGTGAAATAGAGGTTTATAAATAAGTAAATACATGAGGAACTAGGGGGAACAGTGGGGTTGTCAACTCCAACATAGTTCGCCTTGCCCTTGAACATGCTATGTAGCCCAGGCTGGCCTCAAACTCAGCAGTTGTCCTGCCTCAGCCTCCAAGTGCTGGGATTACAGGTGTCTGCCACCACCTCAGGCTGGCTCAGCAGGTTTCTTATAAACTGGTCAGCCCTTACATTTGTATATCTCCAAAATTAGAAGCTGGGAATAGTGACACACACCTGTCATGCACAATTCTGGGAGGCTGAGGCAGGAGGATCATAAATTCAAACCGCGTCTGAGCAATTTAGCACCTTAGTGAGACCCTCGTATTAAAATTTAAGGGGCCAGGGAGATAGCTCAGTAGAATAAGTGCTTACCTGGCAAGCACAAGGGCCCGAGTTCAATCCCTGGATTGAACAAATAAAACAAAATTACATATATATATATATATATATATATATATATATATATATATATATACAGGCTAGGTGTGTAGTTCAGTGCAAATGCCCTATACTGAAAAAAACCTAACACAAAATACCCACACAGCTCCTCCTAGCATTGCCTTCATACAGGGCAGCATGACAGCCTGTGGGAAAGAGTCACAAGCCTCCAGCCTGTAGGTTACACCCGAGTCCTGGCCTATCAGGCCCAGAGAGGGAGAGAATGGTCAAATGCTTACAGTGTTACTACCTCCAGAAAACAAGGTTTTCAGAAGTATGTTATGAGTCTGACTGTGATAGCTTCAAAAAGTTCCCTTGTCCCCGCGGACCCTGGCTCCCCACCTCTCTTCCCATTCATTCATTCATTCATTCATGCATTTCTGTGTGGCTGCGAAGGATCCTGGGCTCACGTGTGCCAGGCAGGCAAGCTCTCTATCCTGGGTGACACTGCAGCTCCACGTGTCTTTCAAGTCACCAGAGTGTGGGAACAGCTCACTCTATTTCTGGCAAGCTGAGGGTCACTTGGAGCTGCTGGACTTGGTGATGGCCTTGGTGGTGGACACAGTGCTTGGCCAGCTCCCTGGGCAGCAGCGGGCACATGGCCATCTGGGCCTTCCTGGAAGTTGGCGTGATTCAGCCCGAGCACAGGGCCAGCCGCGCAACTTCCCCCGCCAGCTGCTAGAGAAATCATTCACGAGCGAGTTCCTGCGCTCCTTGGCGGAGATCCAGTGTTGGGGTGCACCTGAAGAAGCAGAACTAGCCTGCACCACAGCCTCCGCCTGCCCAAGTGGGGGCTCCAGGAGTCAGAGACAGGGCGAGTCCCCTCCTGGGCTTCTTCCGGGGCTGGCAGACAGTGAAGAAGGGCTGTGTTTTCTTTTCACTGTCATTCACATGCCGCATAATGACATCTTGGGCCACAGACTGCATATATGACAGTGGTCCTGTAAGTTGAAATTGCCTAGTGATGGCTGTGGCCATCTCAGCTTGTGAACGGATACCATGGTGTTCCCACAGGGATGAAATTGGCTAATGATGCATTTCTCAAAACATGTCCCCGTCGTTATACTACATGTGGCCACATAGCCAAGTTAAAAAGAAAAAAGCAGCAGCTTCTCCACCTGCAAAGTTAACACATTAACTTCCTTATGTAAACACACAAGCATCTGTGTTTAACAACCAGGGTCAGTGACACGTGCCTCTTGCTTTTGTACAGTGCATTCCTGTGCAATTGTGGAGTAGCTGAATCTGGGCTCTGGTCACCATTCCTTTTTTTTTTTTTTTAATTTTATGTACTTGGTACAGGGTCCCACTATGCCGCTCAGACTCATAGTGATCTTCCTGTTTTAGCCTCTCCATTGCTGGGATTGCAGGTGTGCGCCAACATGCCCGGTCTCGGTGCAGGGTCAGCTTGACATGTGGTATCAGGGATTAAACCTAGGTCCTTGTGCTTGCCTAAGCAGGTGCTTAGACCACTGAGCTGTCTCAGCAGCCCCACTGGTCCTTTTTTATTTTGTGGCCAGCTCACCTGGCCCTGGGGGTGGGCCTGGTGCGGCATGCAGTGCTGGGGATTGAACCATGGTCCCTGTGCTTTGCCTAAGCTTGCCTAAGCAGGTGCTTTAGACTGCTGAGCCATCTCGCCCGCCCCCATTCCTTTCTTTTTTTTTTTTTTGGAAGAAAAGGTTTATTTAGCTCACAGTTTGTGAAAGTTTCAGCCCATACTGTGCTGGTTCTAAGGCAGAGTGACACATGGCAGAGGGCCCCCATTCCTTTCTTAATGGGCATTTTGGGCTTGCTACCTGCAATTAGTCTGTGCTGTAGAAAATCTGCATCTTAGATCCCTGTGTGAACATAAGGAGCAATTCCTATGATAGGACAGCTGGTTGCAGGGTTTGTGAACCTAACTGGGTGGTGGTTCTCAGAAAGTCTGCAGCTATTCAAGGTTGCGGGGGCCCCAGTCAAGCTGGGTGAGATGCCTGCTTGGCACCCTAGTATGTTTTTCAAGGTGCCCAGTCCCAGAACCCCTACATCTCAGGCAGAAGCGACAAACATCAGCAGCCAAGAATTGGGGCAAGGACCATGGAGGAGGAGCCCCAGGGGCTTGCCCAAAGCCAGGGCAGCCCAGGTAGGCATTGCTTGATCAGACCATGTGACAGCTGCCCATGGAGTCTCTCTGCATGCAGGGTCTCTACACAGTAGGCAAGCCCTTGGGGCTGGAAGTGGTTTGGTGGTCTAAGTGCCTGGCTGGCAAGTACAAGGATCTGAGTTCAATCCCTGGTACCGCATGCTGTGCTGGCCCTGGACCCTAGGTACACCACACCAGCCACTGAAACCAGGCATGGTGGCACGTGCCTGTAATCCCAGCACTGTAGAGGCTGAGACAGGAGGATCACTAGGAGTCCTAGCTGTGTAGCAAGACCCTGCACCTAAATAATTTTTTTTTTTTTTTAAAGCAGCTGGGGTTGGCAAGATAGCTCAGTGGTTTAAGGGACCTGCTTAAGTAAGCTTAGTAGGTACAGGGGACTGTGGTTTGATCCCTGGCACCATACGCTGTGCCAGCCCTGCACTCAGGGTGGGCAGAGCAGGCCAGAAAAAAAAAAATGGATTTAAGAAAAAAAGTAGGCAAACCCTACTGGGCATGGTGTCATAAACCTGTGATCCCAGCACTCAGGAGGCTGAGGCAGGATTGCTGTGAATTCAAGGACATACTGGGTTACATAGTGAGTTCAAGTCTAGTCTGAACTACATGGTGAGGCCCCATCTCAAAAATAAATAAAATTAAGATAAAATAGGTGGGGGCAGGGGAGATGGCTCAGTAGAATAAACACTTGCCTGGCAAGCGCAAGGGCCTGAGTTCAATCCCTGGTTCTGCAAAAAAAAAAAAAAAAAGAAAATACGTAAAAAAAGGAAAGAAAATAGGTAAGCCCTAAGCCCGGAGAGCCAGCACCACCTGTCCTGTCCTTCCAAGAGGCCCAGGGCACTCATCCACATTTGGGCATAGTGTGTTCAGCACTGAGTCACACGTAGCCACCTAAGGCTCAGCATCATCTTGCATGCCCAGCATCCTGTGGCACTGTGTGTGTGTGTGTGTGTGTGTGTGTATAAATAAGGGGATCATGCTATAAATGAGGGATCAAGCCAGCCTCTGAGCCCAGGCCAGTGCCCTTTTAGGGCACCTATGCTCACAACTCCCTGCCCCTCCCCTGCTTCAGCACCTTATTGATAGGCATGGGAAAGGTTCCTTGTGCCCACTCTACCCCCTGCCTCCAGAGCTCCGGCTCCTGCAGCCCCCTGCCTGCCATTGCATGCCAGCCCAATGGCTTGTCCTGTCCTGTCCTGGGCCTTCTGTAAGCCAGGTGCCTGGTCAAGTGTGGTTGGGGTGGAAGGTGGGGGTGGGGCTCTAACCCGTCCAGAATATGCTGTTGCCTGATCTGGGTCCATCCCCCTCTTCTTAGAACTTCCCTCTCAGAGGCCTCCCCAGCCTACTAGGCACTGGACAAGTTAATCTGAC